GTTTAATTCTACACAGGTGATTCTATCTGCTTTTTTAGGTTATAGGGGGGTCAATTTAATTTTTTTTAAGTTCATTTGTTTTTAAACTGATTTTTTTTTAGTCATTTATAGTAAAGCCACTGCTCTGGCTCATTCACGTGTGTATATGTGTATATATTTGTATATTTCTGCTGGATCTGTCGATCTCTGCTTTTTTAGTAGGAGGTAAAAACATGAAAAGAAGCCTAAAGCTCCTCCTGTTGGCTGAAAGCGAGAATATTAAATATGCATATACAATAATTTATAATTACTCAATTAAAAAAGTTTTTTTTTTTAGCCCTAACCATAAAAGCAAAAAAAGTAGAGAAAAAAAAAGGAGGTATCCATTCCTGACTTCTACTTCTAAAAAATGTAATATCCTGGCCATCATCTGATTATCAGATAATATGGCTTAAATTTTTCAGTCACTGGCCTGGAAAAAGTAAAGAGATAAAAATGTAGACTTTTTCTAACGATAATTTGCTGCATGCTTGTTCCCTCTGTGCCTTAGAAGTAGAAGCCAAACACAACTAATGCTGGGCACACACCTTACAACCATCGCAAGACTTTTGAAGGTTGTGAGGTAATTAAAAAAACGTATGATCTGCCTATCTTGGACAGGCAGATCGTACTTGCGATGATCGCAAGCCACGCCCCCCTGAGGGGCAGGCTTCCGATGACCGCAATGGCGAACGGGCAGTGTGCGCTTGCACACACCGGCCCGTCTGGCTTTTATCTTACGAACATGCTACACACCCGCCGAACATCGTACGATGCTCGGCGGGTTTTCGAACATGTTCGTAAGATAAAAGTCGTGCGACCTTACAGTAGTAGAGGTCGCACGGCTTCCACACACCTTACGATAATCGTACGATCGCGGGATTTCCTGCGATTATCGTACGATTATCGCAAGGTGTGTGGGCACCTTAAAGCTGGCTATACACCTTACAATTTATCTGCATATTTTCTGTGGTCAGATGGAAAAGGTGCAACAGATTCCTCCATCTACACTTAACTGTGTGAATGGAGTAATCTCCACCTGGGCCAATCTGTTGCACCTTTTCCATCTGACCACAGAAAATCTGCAGATAAATTGTAAGGTGTATGGGCACCTTTAGGCATTACAATTTCTCATACAAGGATGCCAGCAGTGGCAGGCCACGTGTTTTTCTCATAACAGGTGTTCTCTAAAAAATTACATCCCTGCTTTTTATTATCCAGTATCCAACCACGGGTCTTACTTATTAAAGGTATCCAATATCCAACAAGGGTCCTTACTTATTAAAGGGAGTATGCACAGTAATGTGCATAGCTTTCATTTTCTAACTGCACAAAAGAAATAAAATCTGAATATTGTTCGGCTATTATAAGAAATCCCTCAGCTTTTCATATTTTTTTTGGTTTTGAAAATCAACACCCCAAATTAAAAAAAATAAAAATAAAAAAAGAACACATTTCATAACTGAGAAAGTTTTCTTCATGGTAAGTTTTGATGGCAGCACACACTTATGAAATCCTGTTAATTTTTCTGTCACTACTGCACTATAACTAAAATATTAATTAAAACATTGTGAGAAAATAATGTGTGATGCTAGCTGAAATGAAGAAAAATAGCATCTTTCACCTTTTTCTGAAGAATGCTAACAATGTGAAATAATCTGTTTAATTAAACAACACAAGTGCTGTATCTCTCTTTGGTTTTATTACTTATTTCATGTTCAAGTTTTTCATCTGCCTTACACAAAAAGAAAAGAAATGACCTGGAATGTTGCCTGCCCTGAGGCTCACTGGAAATAATACATGTTACATTTAAGTATTTTATAAGTAAATGGTAACTAGAACAAAGCATTAATCTTCTTACTAAATTCACAGTCGGGAAATATTTTGTATTAACTTCTGCTTAATGGGGAGCTGGAATGAATCAGCCATGTGGTATCTATTTTAGGGTCCTCATAAAGTCCCAAGCTTAGGTATAGTATATCATTGTCAAATGTAGCATATGTTGCAAAAAACAAAAACCGCCCTTGCAGGATCAATGCAACTATGATGCAAGTTACGGATCCATAATAATATTGTCATTTCTGAACACCTGTCAGGTTGGAGTTGTTGATTTATTATTATTATTAATAATTTGCACTGGTGTGTTGCGGCAAAGCTCAGTAAAGCGAGTGTACAACCCTTGTTTAACATTTGTTACTGCAACATGTGGCAATAGACCTGCCCTATGTGTGTTGTGTTGTGGTGCCATTTAGCCCTTTATTACAAAACAGTAGGGATGCACAGATACCATTTTTTCAAGACCGAGTACCGATACTTTTCTTCAAGTACTCACCGATATTAATAACTGATACTTTTTTTTAGTGTCATGTGACAGTTTTCCTAAAACAATACAGACTAATGGATTTAGGACAGTGGAGGAGCGCCAGGGCCCGGACGCACCTGCAGCTGCTGCGACCCTGGTAGTCCTGCCACTGACTCCAAGCTGTAGAGGGATTATCCCAGCAATACATTATATAGCAGTGCAGAATACCACCAGCTATAGAGGACTACAAATCCCAGAAATCCATTGTACTGCATTGCAGAATAATACCAGCTATAGAGGACTACAAATCTCTGCAATACATTATACAGGAAGGCAGAATACCACCAGCTATAGAGGACTATAAATCCCAGCAATACATTACACAGCAATGCAGAATAATATGAAGCTACATACTCTTTGTTGGTCACCAGGGCTGTGCGGGGTCTGACTTTAGTTGTGCTGCGTCTCAGGAAGGCGTAGAGTTAGTGAGGGTTAAATCAGGCACAATAGGAAAGATAGACCAATTAGGGCAAAAGGGAGTTAGCAGAAGGTAATGCCTGGCAACAGGACACAGATAGACTAAGCTATGGGCCTACAGCCCAAATACAGGAGCCAGTAACCAATAGGGAGCCAGGAGGAGGAGCCCAGAGTGTGTGTGTTGCCTGGGCTACTACTGAATACATTAGCATACAGCAGGGATTCCTCCATCCATGCTATTTAGTGGGATAGGGGAATTGATGGATTTCTCTTGTTTAGCCAATGGGGCTAAACGAGAGATATTGAAAGAGTGCTTGGCTATCTTAAAGGCTAAGTTCACCTTTTGCAAAAATTAAAGAAAATGCTTGTTTATTAAAGGAGAACTATGAGGTGAGTGATTTTCACTCAACCTCATAGTTAGAGCCGACCTGTGACAATGAAACTGTCACACGTCGGCTCAATAGATCGGGAAGTGAGCGAACACATAGTGTCACTCGCTCACTTCTCCATCCTGTCCCTGCAGAGAGCCGTGACTGTCACTCACGGCTCCCTGCAGGGATTCCCCCCTCCCCGCTTTGATCCTCCAGTGCTGACTGGTGGAACGGACGGGGGAGGGGGCGGATACAGCTAGCTTTGCCTCTAGATAGGCAGAGCCAGCTGTCAATCACGCAGCTGGGTGGATCTCGACAGTAATGTCGGTATCCGTCCCGGCTGTGGCGGTCTACTGAGCTTTGGGTCACGGGAGGACGCTAGTTTGTGTCCTCCTGTGACCCTGAGGAGAACTATGGGGAAAAACACTTACCCAATAGTTCTCCTTTAATATCAAAAAATATGCTTTTTTTATTTTTGCATTCAAGCCTGGAAAGCATTGCAACTGTGATCACTGGATCATGGTGGCAAAGCTCAGGCTTCTGCAGTTTCTACCCAAACTGAAGCCTCAGTACGGAGTTTCAGTTTAAATTTCCCTCACAAATGACGAAGCACGGTCACCTAACCACATTGACCAATGAGAAGTCTTCTTAAAGCTTTCCTTCCTTCTTTCTCTCTTTCTTAGCAAGAAGCGCTTCTCATTGGTCAGCATGGTCACGTGACTGTGCTGACCAATGAGTGCTCGCCATTTGCAAGCAAAATTTAAACTGAAACTCCATACCACAGTACGGAGCTTCAGTTTGGGAGGAAACTACAGAAGCCTGATCTTTGCACCCGTGATCCAGTGATCACAGTTGCAATGTGTTCCAGGCTTGAATAAAAAACTAAAAAAATTAAATTTTTTTTAATATGATTAAATATGCATTTCTTTATTTTGTGCAAAAGGTGAACTTAGCCTTTAAGTCACCTAGGCCTAGGCCAGAGGAGCCTAGTATTTCACTTTGCTCCTAGGGGGTAAACAGAGCTGATGTGTAAAGCTTTTCTGTCTTGTGTATAATTGATGCTTAGGGTATCCTAAAATCAAAACCCAAAGATATTTTTTATATACATTTTTTACTTTAATGTAAGCCTGCCCCACAATTTATTTTTGTACTGCATTAAACATACTGAAAGTAGCAAAACACACAGCACATTTAGCACTACATTATATATTAGATTAGTATTAGTGATTTGCATATTAGGCAGATTTCCTTAATCATATATAAGAGTTAACTAAAAAGGAGTATTCCTCTCCCCTGGTTTTTACTTGTGTTATGTGCTGGACCTGGAGAAGAGGGGGTGGATCAGGTTGTTCTGGGGATTAATATAAATAACCCAGACCTCTGTCCACATTAATTTTAATAATACATTGAATCAAGTGCTTCACCTTGCATTTAACTATGAGTCACTCGGCTCAAAATGCTTTAAACTACAAGAAAAACATAAATTAACCTCTCTGATGACTTTGGGAAGCACTTCCTTTTTCTATCTACCCTAGGTTTCATATATATATATATATATATATGCATGTGTATATCAGTATTCAGGAAATGTAATAAATTGCTCTTTTAGATAAAGCAATTTGCAGATTCGGCAGTGATAACGTTTTAGCTCTCCCTGTCAGTAGCTTCAAGAGGAAGTCATATAATTGGCACTTTTAAGTATTAAGACTTTCATATTTATTCATGCGTGGATTCTGACAGTATGCTGCTTATTTAATATGAAGGAGTCCTAATTCTGTAACTGCATTCCAAATAGTGTTTGCAACATTAGCAGGTTTTGTATGAGACAAGCTGAATTAAATATTCAGAGGAATTTACTTGACCTTACAAAATGATCTCACATTGAAAATGTTATTTTTTTTTTGTGTTCAATTTGCAGGACATTGTATATCTTCCACAAGCCAAACACGTACCTCTATACATTCCAGAAATCAGATCTCAAGGTAAATGTTTTTGATGGGCATGCAGGATATAATCTCTGAAGACTAGAGAAAAGTGCAATGTATCAGATGGTAACTTTAATTTGCTAGAGCCTGTTAAGTTGCTAGAGACAGTGGGTCCATGGTATGACCTCTCAGCTTTCATAAATAAGCCACAATTAATTGACAGTAATGTCTATTACATCAGAAATGCTTTGTCTGATATTGAGTGATTAAAGTCCTGTGGAGGTCAATTTACTTCCAGTGGGGGTCATGTTAGTTAAATCAATTGATGGGTCTTCAGGTGAGTTTAGAAATTAGGGTCTAGCATTTACTTAAAATGCACAATGTGCAGGAAATCTGGGCATGTGCTTATGTTAAATAAGTTATGACATGACAGCAGTCTGTTTTTAGTAACATGGCAGGACAGCAATGTTTAACATCACCTGTAACTTGAGATCAATATTTATCAAGTTTTTTTTGCCAGTGGCTCCTAACAGTGATGAGCTGTTGTACTCCATGTACAAATCCTGGTAGGTTCATGTGGGAGGTTCTGCAAACTCTTCAAAAATTCTGCAATTCGTGAACCCCACTAAAGTTAAGAAAAAAAAATGTTGCACTAAGGTCCCTGCCTGTTGTTGTTTTTTATTGGTGTTGTAACAAGGACACTCCACTGTAGTCCAGGTAAGTCAAGGAAAACGCAGTTTATTGAAAGGGCAAACACAAAATAGCTTGCTACAGCAACATAAGACAGCTAAGGGCTCACCAATCCTCGAGTCGTCCCATACACTCGCGGTGTCCCAGTCTTTTAATAAGTCTCTCTTGCAGCACTGCTGCTCTGGCCTCAATCTTCAGGGCCACTGTCTGGTTCCTCCAGACAACGGCAATAACATGCCAATACTCCCAATATGGTTCACAAACCCGCAGCTCCCTGCTGCACTGGCCTCCACACTGACTCCAGGGTGGAGCTCTCCTGACTCACAGGTGGGGGCCCTGAACACATCCCAGCACACACTTCAAGAGGGATGTACACAGGTGCACAATCAGGTGCTGGTCACCACCAAAGCATGGACCCAGGAATGGAGATTTCCTCCCACCCAGAGCTCTAAGAAATCTCTTGGCTCCAGGATCCCAACTATGATTCAGAAAACCCGGAAAGAACTGAAAAGGCTGTTCTCTCCTGGTACCAGTAATGTCTTCCTGGAGCCACTCAGCCCCTCTGGCTGAGAACCCTGGGTGACTTTGAGGCCACCTAACACCGTGGTATTGCCTCACAATGCCACAGTGTGGGGTCCCCCAACACCATACCAAGCCCTTATCCTTGATGAATGTTTTGTATGGATTTTAAGGGGGAACCCCTTGCAAAAAAGAACAAAATAGGTTTGATTCCCCCCAAATCCACACCAGAACCAATATCTAGACCTTTAAAATAAGGGGATTTTATAAAAAAAAGTCTGGTCTCTTTTTGTACATTGTAGTCTTTACCCTTTATGAAAGATACCCCAATGCAAATAAGCCCCCCTGCCCTTACCTAGTGGTTGTGGGGGAGAGGCCCTTGACCCCATCGGCGGGGACCCCTGAAAAAGCACCCTCCCAATGCCGAGGGCATGTAGCCTGAATGGCGCAGGGAGAGGGAAAGGAGCTCACTCGTCCCTCCCCTTTCCTGCCCTGCCAGGCCAGTGCCCGGATTAAAGGTCTGGTTGGAAATTTTAGGGGAGACCCAATGTTTTTATTTTTACATTTTTTGGTGGTGGGGTTCCCCGTTAAAATACCTTCCAGATCTAAAAGACCTAGTATGACTTTTTGGGGGAACCCACACACTTTGTTTCTTATTTTTTAACTCAGGGTTCCCTCTTAACATTCCTACCAGACCTAAAGGGTCTGGTATCAATGAGAAGGGGAACCCCACACTTTTTAAAACTATTTGTTTACATTTACATACGGTCAGCTTCGGCAGACTGCTCTCCCCGTTTCGGCTGTATCTTCGGCTCGGCTGAGCCGAACGCATATGCCTCGGCTCGGCTGAGCGCTTCGGCTGCTGTACGGGCTATTGTGAATAGCCCATACAGCAGACCTTTGGTTTGGCTGAACTGAAAGGCTCCAGTGGCCGAAGTGAGCCAAAGGATTACCCAAACCTAAGGCTACGTCCTTCGGTTCCTTTGTGAATAACCCCCCTAGATCGATCTTCATTCAAACAGTGCCCACAGATAAAGGCAATATACTTGAACAAACAGCACATCAAACTGACATGGTAAATCAACCCCGCTGTATTCATTTTCATAATCTAAATGATCAAAAATTCTGAATTGGCTTGCAAAAAAGTATTTACACCCCTGCAATTTCCACCATGTCAAATCTATGAATTTAGGTTCATCTGTTCCAGATTAGGTGCCAAAAATTGCAACCTGCTTAGGGAATATGCATATGGAGTCACTCTTATTTAAAGCTTAACTCCAGACAAATCTGAACCTCCTCTATGTTTCCTTCACTTTATGTTGAAGTAAGCTCACAATCAACTTTTTATTGACCTTTTTCTGTTAGGATGATTTTCATGATTTTTCGCTCTGTGATGTCATCACAGGGTTCCTAAACAATAGAATGAAATAGCTGCTGGGAGGAAGGATTTGCTGGGTGCCCTTCTTGTCCATTTAGAAATGCAATGCAATCCTACAGCTCCCACGGGCCCTTGGGGCAGGCACTTGGAAGAAGGAGACAGTGCTGCAAGAGGTGTGTGTGCGCGGGATAACAAAGGTGTTAATAACTCCATTGTCATTACCCATGTATATTAGCCAGCAGCACCAATCTGAGAATAGAGGCAGGCTGGGTAAGGGAGGGGTAAAGGCAGGAGTGATCCTTCTCTTTCTATCCTCTACTACCAGTAATGAGACTGTACGTGGCCACAACCACCATCTGTAGCAATAGCACTTCAACGAAAGAGAGCATTAACCTGTGTAAATTTGAGACATTCTCCTGTGTAAATTTGAGAAATTTGAGACATTACACCTGTGTAAATTTGAGACATTCCCCTGTGCTGCAAGAGGTGTGTGTGCGGGATAATAAAGGTGTTAATAACTCCATTTGTCATTACCCATGTATATTAGCCAGCAGCACCAATCTGAGAATAGACTGTACGTGGCCACAACCACTATCTGTAGCAATAGCACTTTAACGAAAGAGAGCATTAACCTGTGTAAATTTGAGACATTATCCTTTGTTGTGTCTGCACTACAACAGCACAGCTACACATTCTAAATTGAAGCAGGTTTAGGCAGGGAGAGGTGATGCTGCAGTCAGTGGAAGAGGAGGTTAGAACTCTTTTGAGTGCTAATGCTGACTTGCAGGTTTAGAGTGGTGATGGGGGCTAGAAGGCATTAGCAGTGACAGGAGTTCTTAACTCCCCTGTAACTGTGTAACTGCTCACAGCACAATAATATGTGACAAACTTCAGCTCCTTTGTTTTATGCCTACAGTCTGACAGTGCAGGCTCATTACTAGTGTATATTCTAGTGTAGACATGTGCTTGAGATGGGAGAGGGTTTGCTGTGGGTAGTGACACAGGAATTCAGAACTCACACACACAGAACTCCCCTGTCATTGCCATTGTCATTGATTATTATCCTGTAGAATTGTTGTATGCTGGTGTGTAGGCATGGGGTGGACAGAGCTAGGCAGCAGTGGGCAGAGCAGGGCAGGGCTGAACACAGACCGGGGGGCAAAAGACACACTTTGTCTTAGGGCAGGAGTGGGCAACTCTGGCCTTCCAGCTGTGCTTTTATCTACAAATCCCAACATGCCTCTGCCTCTGGGAGTCATACCTGTAACTGCCAGTCTTGCAATGCCTCATGGGACTTGTAGTTCCACAACAACTGGAGAGCCAGAGTTGCCCACCCCTGCCTTAGGGTGAAAAATTACTTAGTTTACCGTGACATCATCATCCTTTGCTGCATGAGCAAGCTTACAAGCAGCTGTGGCAAAGCACAGTACCCAGTTACATTCAGTTGTAGTCACTGTAGTAAAACTGTGACATTCAGCCATCAGTAAAGTGCCCACATATCCACAAGAAGTTCATACAAAAAAAAAAACTACAGGAACTCCAGGGAGCAGCAAGAGAAAATATGAACAAAATAAGGGGAAACATTTTATTTTTTAACAAAAAAAAATGTGTGATCCTGTTTCACTTACAGTGTTCTCGAAGCTAAGTTTTCTTTTTGAGGGATGAATTTTACTTTAGCATTTCATTGAAATAAAATTAGTAAAGGTAAGTAGAAGGCTTAGATGAACAAAACTCTTTCCATCTGTTGAGTGAATACAATAGCATAGCATGAAAGGGCTATAAATAACAAAATAGTTTGAATTATTGATTCAAGGTGATGAAGGACAGGATAAGAGGACAAACCCAAGAGTGAAAACAGTGTTGCTCAGGAGACTTTGTCAAACTTTTAGTCTTTAATCGCTTATGTTGACACAAAGTCTTCACAGAATTAATTATTTAGTGTAAAGTAGGCTCTTACTGCTAATTGTATATGCAATTTTAAGTATGTAGTTAACACCTTCAGACACTTACAATAATTACATATGATGAAGAGCATTTTCAAAATTATCATCTGTGCACAGATTGTAAAACATAAATGCAGCATCAGTAAGTAACAATACTTTATATTCTAATATATCCTGCTTGACCTTGGGCAATTTTATAATGTAATGTTACAGGAGGCAAAAGGTAAAGATCCTGTAAATGCTGCAATCTTTAAGAATGTATGTGAGGTTTTGTTTTTCCTAGCTATGGATTATCCAATATGGATCATTTATCATTTAAAATATTTTTTTTCTTTATTTTGACAAAATTTTAAACAGGAAATTCACTTAAAGGAGAACTATGAGGCGAGTCAAAATCACTCAGCCTCATAGTTCTAGCTGACCTGCGACAATGAAACTGTCACACGTCGGCTCAATAGATCGGGAAGTGAGCAAACACATACCGTCGCTCGCTCACTTCTCGATCTATCCCTGCAGAGAGCTGTGAC